GCAACAAACTTCCACATTTAAAAGTCAGAGACCTACAGTATGCAGAAATAAAGACAACAAAGAATAATGTACAATATGTTAAACAATAAATATGTAAAGAAAACCCGATCAACTGATGCTGATCACCTGATGTTGACAAGTTAATACTGATAACTTGATGCTGATAACCTGATGTTTATTACTTACTGCTGATCACCAGGCGCCGATCACCTCATGCTGACTACTTAATGCTGATAACCTGATGCTGATCACCTGATGCTTATCACTTAATGCTGATCACTTAACGCTGATCACCTAGCCATGCACATTAGTTTGGGATCATAGATGTCAGGGTTGTAAATTCTCTTGCATTTGGTGTGACATTGATGCTTTCAGGCTCATGATCATGCAAGAAATCTTATGGCAAATCTATATTATTCCATTACAAACTTAAAACTAGCTACATCACTAGGGCAGTTTGCAAACCCTACAGACTATTACCATTTAGGTAATGACACTGTTACATACATGTAAATGCGCGGGCAAACTTGTCTTGAACTGAAAATCTCACACCAGTCAGCTGACCAAAGTTGGCATCCCTGTCTTGTACATGGTTTCATGGTGCAGTTCATTCAGAGACACACAATGCATTCACAGTTCGGTGAGAACTGATCTGAATGCCACATCATTTAGATGAATGTTTTGCGAATTAATTAAGCTGCTTTGCTGTTTCACTGTGTACATCTAATTTGGGTGGTAATTACTGGTTTGTTTTCACAAGGTTTGTTATGTAAACTTGATAAGAACGAAAATCAATTTGTTCATAGTAATGTAGTAAACATAATATTTGCCAATATATTTGCTCATAACTGTAAGCTTCTTTTTCTTTTATATGAATTATTTCTTTCTTACATCCATAACGCTGCAAGTTGATCACTATTACTTTCAAGGATTTTATGTTCTTTGCAAAATGCCTCTGTGTTTACATATAATGTGATTATTGTGTTCCTGAAAAGCCTCACATTAAGCAAATTCACACTATAGAAACAACAGGCATTATAGGGAAAATGAGGTTGGGGCAAACACTCAAACTGAGTATGTAACACACACAAAAAAAAGATTTTTTAAATTATAGCACAGTGTTAAAGCTTTCCCTTTGTCCTCACTGCTTGGCTTTATTGAAACAGGACATGTTTTGGGGAGTTAAATGACCATTTTTAATTATAAAAATTAACAAATGTAGAAGAATAGCTCAACAATGCATTTTTAAAATATGTGTTATGGGGAAGATATTGTATTTGCAATGAATGAATCCCTCCTTGGCTTACTTTTTCTGTTCTCCTGTGCTCCCGATCTGCTTAGACTCTATACTGTATATGCTCAGGGCAGATCTGCTTAGACTATATACTGTATATACTCAGGGCAGATCTGCTTAGACTGTATACTGTATATGCTCAGGGCAGATCTGCTTAGACTATATACTGTATATACTCAGGGCAGATCTGCTTAGACTGTATACTGTATATGCTCAGGGCAGATCTGCTT